ATATATATAAAAATACTGGTCGTGATTCTCAAGGGGCTTGCCGCCAAGATGAACTGACTGCCGGTTAACCGCTATTCGCGAAGTAACTCCCTCTCTCTAATACTTTTTTTTATTATTCTTAATGGGGTGAGATTGAGTCTACTTGGTACTGCGGCCACTGCCCACTGTACAAGCCCAGGATGATAATGATGAATGTGGAGCAGTCGGTGGAATGAGAATTGTCAGGGGAAATCGAAGTACCTGGAGAAAGCCTGCGCCAGCGCCACTTTGTCCAATAAAAATCCCACATGACATGACCAAGGCTCGAACCCGGGCCGCCACGGTGGGAAGCTGGCGACTACGAGAGAGAGAGAGAGAGCGAAGAAGTGGGGGTGGTAGTGAGACACACTAAAATGGGGGAGGGGGGGTAAGAAACTATACTAGCAGGTCGAAATGTGGTTCAGAACTTCAGTTCGTACCTCACAGGGAACACAATTACCTGTTGAACTGACCGTACTTGTGCCACTTATGAACAGAAGCATGTGACTACATGAGATGGCGTGCGTGTACACTGCGTTCATGTGGGAATGTTAATTAAGAATATAGGGCCTCAAGCACTATTAATGGCTATTACAAGCCTATGGTATGGTGACTTGCAGACCAGCGTATGAAGGCTCGCAAGGGTAACCCACACCTTCCAGAGCCCGAGATCAATATGCCGCACTTCACTGTCCGCCTCGGTAAGTTCCATGTGTTAAAGGGTAAAGTAATCCCTGGGCTTAATTAATTATGCATCACACCATGAAGACGTATGCGGGAGCGGAGGTATAGCTACACTTCACCTCGGCACTAGGTGGAGGTGTGAAGTCAGCTTCACGCCCCGACCACTTTACCCCCGTGAATACAGTGCTCCAGTACCCATTGGAGAGGAGGCTGGGTGGGCGCCAGCGCAGGTCTGATATCACAGAAAAGAGAAAGATTTCTTGATTCTACCAGGAATCAAACAGCAGTTCCTCGGTCATCCAGCCCGTAGCCTAGAAGCCATGTCGACTGAGCCATTCCGGCTCAGTTCCATGGGCAGTTATACCGATAGGATGCTACTTCTTTCGACAATATTATTTAATTATGCGCCGTAGCAGTTCAGTGAACACAGTGTACTTGTTAGGCCGGCTCTGGGGCCCAGGTAGTCTTCGATCCAGTGGGTACCAAGAATCTGTCCTAAAAAGGGTGAAGTGGCCGGGGCATGAAGCTGACAAACCGCCTCTATCTAGTATCGAGGTTAAGAATGTGTGGAGCTACACCTCCATGAATCCAGTGAATCTTCATAAAGCGGTGCTTCATTTCATCAAATTTACTTTGAAGGCGCCTGCCTGCAAATCGGTACCTCCCATTAGGATCGTCCAGTGATGCGATTCTTAGACGAAAATAGATTAGAAAAAGACTGGTTTGGGCTAACCTGAGGTTCTTCCCCGGGATCTGAACCAGAGACCAATCGATAACGAAGCACAGTGTTTCCCTCTCGACGCCAACGTTCAGCGTGGATATTCAAATCAAGGCACTTGTTTTAGACTTGCCTTTATGCGGTCAGAACATGTAAAGTTGTTCGTGTGTATAATTCGACAACACGCTATGAAGAGGTATGCGCCATGACATGGAGCTAAGTGATCAGCTTCAGGCACCGGCCGCTTTAATTCCGGGCATACAGCCCCCAATATGAATCGATTGGAAGTGTGGGAAGGACATCAGAGCACGTCTCGACGCTGGGAACAGAAATTTGGGATTCCAGGGATCTAAACTTGATTCCCCGGAGTAAAGCCCGTAGCCTATTTACATCTATTTTTCCCCTTCCTTGGCACTGCAACCCCAGTGGGCCGAGGCCTACCTCCATGAACTTCTCCGTTCACTTCGCTTTTTCTAGATCTTACACATTCGGTAGGACTCCTTTGGTGGGTGATCAGCTCGTCGCAAGGCCTCTACCTGTATACAAACACAGAAAAACGCACACACACAAACTGAACATCCATACCATGAGTAGGATTCGAACTCACGATCCCGGTTTCCAAGCGAGCGAAGACAGTACATGCCTTAGACCGCTCGGCTACCGTGACCGGCTATTTACATCTACATTATTAAATAAATTTCATTATTCCGGCGGTTTATTTTTAAGAAAAACCTGGGGCAAAAAAAAAGAAATGGGTATTTTGACCAGTCAGACGATCATGTACCCGATAAGGAACACGTTACACGCATTAAATACGATGCCTATCTAAATCGGTACCAACATCATAATAAAGTCTTTCCATTAGACATACTCGTACAGTCGGCACACACGCGGAGTGTCATGGACGCAGGCTATTACGCGTCCAAATTAAATCACAAATTACCACTAATGCATTTCGGTTGGCCATGTAACTTCTCCTGGGAGCAAACCTTTACAACGACACGCTCGGGCCCGACACACTTAGCAGACGAATATTGGAACCTCACTATTTAACGCTCTGAAATCTGACGACCGACGGTCCTGGTGTCAAGCCCTCATCTCGCGCCCAGGCCCAGATTTTCATTAGTCAGATGAGAGGGCAGGTCTGTCGTTTACAATTCCTGCTGGACCTCGCCAGCGCGGTCATTCTCAAGTCTGAGATCCGCGGGAATCATCATATTTTACTGTCTCATATTCGAGACTCCCCCCAAACTCAAGGGCCAGGTCTCCGTATTTATATCCACTAGAACATGGTGGCCGATTATACCTCCGGGATAATAGGTTCCGTTTTCGCCACCTCTTACGACTTTAAGTCTGAAACTCATATCAATAGCATACATGTCAGTTCGTACCTCAAAGGAAACACATCATGTCTCCGCTACAGAGCCCAACCGGTTAATACTGTTTAGGGAAATGTTTGTAAGAACCACAGGAGACATATACCACGTACACAGTATGGAGAAAATGAGAATTTTGTTAAAGCAGGTGATATACTACCACAGTCAATAAGTTTGTGGAATGGTCGCAAATCGTCGTACGGGAATTAACTGCCAATATGTTTCAGCAATGTTTACGACGGCTATATCAACACTGGCAGACTTGCATAGCGGCCAACGGCAACTATTTTGAGGCCCGATGTGGATCGGCATAAGTGTATGTGAATACGATGCGATAAAACCACATTCCACGAACTTAATGACTCTACCACGTATATATGGGGCAGTCAAACGAAAACGGGTCACCACGCATAACTCACACGGCGCGCAAGTTGGTAACACTAGAATTTGCTTACGGTACGAACATCTGGTGGGGACTCGGGAAAGCACAGTGACAACGTGCCCTTGCACAACAGTCGTTTGTTTATTGTGCTGGAAGTAAGGTTAGCGCTACGTGTGGTCTTCCAACATCAGTAATGGAGGCGGGTAAAGAACAGCGAAGTGTAGTGCGCTTTTTGACTGCTGAAGGAGTAGGAGAACGAGAAATTCATCGTCGCATGTCTATTGTTTACGGCGAACAAGGCATGTCATGTTCGCGTGTGCTGGAGTGGCATAAGAGATCCCGAGAGGGACGTGTGTCACTGCAAGATGATGCTCGCCAAGGACGGCTCATCGTGTCATCACTCCTGATGTTATTGCTGCGTTGGATGGTCATATCCAGGCAGACCGACGGATCACTGTGGAAGAAATTAGTCTTTTGATGGGAATAAGTCCCGGTTCCGTACACGCCATTATGACAAAACACCTGCTGTACCGAAAAATCTGCGCGCAGTGGGTTCCACATCAACTCACGGAGGAACAGAAGACTCAGAGAATGGCTGCATCACTGGTCACTTGCAACGACACCATGAGGAAGTGTATGCTTTTCTATCCCGTATTGCCACTGGGGACGAAACTTGGTGCCACCGTTTTGAACCCGAGAGGAAACGGCAGAGCCAACAATGGAAACACGTGAATTCTCCCCCACCGAAGAAATCCAAAGCCCTACACACAGGTTCCGGTAAAGTGATGATGATGACCTTCTTCGACTGCTAGGGCCCTCTGCTTGTCGAATTTCTCGAGCATGGGGCCACACTCAATGCACAGCGCTATGAAGACACTTAGCAGAAACTGAGACGTGCCATAAAGTCAAAACGCCCTGGAATGCTATCCTTCTTCATGATAATGCGCGCCCCCACACTGCCAACTCTGTGAGGAGCTACAGAGATTTGGTTGGGAAGTGCTTCAACATCCCCCCTACAGCCCAGATCTCGCCCCATGTGATTTTCATATTTTTGGAGACCTGAAATCGTGGACATCGGTTTGCATCGGACGAAGACGTGTGTGGCTGGGTAAAGATGTGGTTCAGTAGACAGCCCACAAGCTTTTTCAAAGATGGGATTGACCGTCTTATCTCCCAGTGGGATAAATGTATTAACAGTTTTGGAGATTACTTTTGAGGTAGAAATGTTCTTTAATATGTTTTGGCTTCTTCCCCGTTTTCATTTGACTGCCCCTCATATATAACTATCATTGTGCTTTAAAGGGCTGAAAAAAATGAAGGCGGAAACTGTAATGCATAAAGGAGATAAAAACCTTTTAGTCAAAAGTAATAGTGTACTCGTACTTATGCAGAATAAGTCTGTTGTCCCCGACTGAATTTTGTGACCTTCAGAAGAGTATTAATATTTTTTTTGATCAAAATACACACCGTGGCCTTGAAAGTGGTCATCCTCAGTTTAAACATTTATCACACAAGGTCTTATTAGACAGGGAATGAAGATTGAAATCGCACTCAGAAAAACTTTACCGCAACAATTTCCGTGGCTACCGTACATATTGGTAAGAGTACGGAGTTAATTTCGTATTGTCTTTGTATGTTTTCTGTTAGGTTCGCAGTAGGAAGCATGAACTCTTCCAGTTCAACAAGACGGGTATAGGTTTCTAAACAAGCAATACAACGCAGCTTGTCCATTGGGGGGGGGGCTAGGGAGGGGACTCACAGCTGGCACGAAATTCTATCAGTTAATGGATACACAAGTATAGAGAAGTCGAAGCATTCTTACCTTATGTTGAACTCTGCCGCTCGCGAATGCAACATCCTGAAAAAATGAAACGGGAATTTGTAAAGATTCAAACACAGTTATCGTAGATTAAAATGCTCCTGCTGGAAACCATAACGGAATGAGGTGAAATAACTTCACTAGATCTCTCCTTGAACATCACAGGAGCAATGGAATATATCCAGACATGAATAGGCATATGAAACTATGATGATACTAAGAAACCTCATGTTTCGACTGCCATGTAGTAATCTTCAGGTTACACGAGATGTATATTAGCAATACGCAAATCTGTGACATGTCACTTGTACTTGCAGATTTTATTTCTGACAAGTAAAGACTGGGATAGCGACAGGTTACGGTCTTGCCGGAAGGGGTTCGATTCACGGCTGGGGTAAGAGATTTTTCTCTTCTCCACAGTGATCAGACCGGCTCGGGGCTCACCGAGTCTCCTATTCAATGGATACCGGGGGCTTTCTATGGGGTTAAAGTAGTCGGGGTGTGAAGCTAGCTACTCACTTCCATCTTCTGCCGAGGTAAAAAATAGTGGAGCCACATATCCACTGCCCAGTACATCTTCATGGCTCAGTGCTTAATTAATTAAGTGCAGGGACAACTTTATATTCTAAATATATTCTGTTGGATTTTAAAGTTGTTGTGGTGGCCATGTCAGGACACAGTTCGGTACAGGTTTTGAGACGTTTCGGGGGAATTTCTTGCTTCATCTTCATAGTCGAAGAATAAGAAAAACATTCTTGTTAGTTGCTTGTTTGCTTCGCTTACTCCATGACCCTGAAGATGGTCGAAGAGCGTACTTCCGAAAAGTCTGTAAAGCTTCTAATAAATAACACAGCAAACTCGTAAAGTTGAGATAGTAACATAAAATTAAAATTACGATTACAACTAAAACTGATGTTAAGCTCAATATTAAAATATTATGCATCATAAAATCGGGTTGCTTCCATCTTCGGTTAAGACCACGTAAATGCTGTTGGGTTCATGCCGTAATGCTTTTTTAGTATTACTAGCTTCTCCCACGTTACTACTTGCATTTGTGTTTCATGCTGCTTGTATGGAAGAGTGGATCAGAATCCAGACGTTTTCATTAACCGTCTAAATCATGGTATTAACGATATGCTCCACATACATTTCATAGTTTTGCATTCTGCCCACGCGGTGTATTTATGTGCTCCGTATGGTTCTCACAATAAACAGCGGCTGTTTCCCTGAACGGCATTAACCGGTCGGGCTTTGTAGTGGAGATGTGATGTGTTTCCTGTGAGGTACAGACTGGATTTGTATATATTACAAAACTCTGCAATCTGCGCACAGAGTGTATTTGTGTACCGTGTGATTCTCACAATAAACAGCAACTATTTCCCTAAACAGCATTAACCGGTTGGTCTCTGTAGCGTATATGTAATTTGTTTCCTGTGAGGTATGGAATATTTTTATACATTATTTAGACGAATTTCCTGGTTCAAAGAGCTAATATGCATGTTATGATGAATTTTACAGAAAGCTATACCACTCTTGTGTAAGTTCAGAGGCAACGTGTGTTTCAAAATTAATTTATTCATTAAACTCCATAACTCATCCCAAGCAACTCACACTGCAGTCCATGTATCGAGCATCAAGACTTATTTCGGAATCCGAACATTAGTCGCTCATTCCTTACAAATTACACGACGCCTGGAATTAAATCAGAGGAGTTCCTGGTTCTCCTGTCCGCCGGAGCTCTGATTGCTGACCTGCTACGGTTTCTTCGCATTAATAATCACAGAATTACTGAAACGGGACAAACAGGTCAAGTGAAGCGCTCATACTTGTACGGTAAGTGTTTTCATCATGCAATCATCACTGTGTCATTTCTTTGTTACTCGTACCAGCTTTATTAAGGGGACGGGACAGTTCGGTCGGTAAAGCGAACAGGCAGCGGATTAGATAACCGAAGAAACACGGTTTGGTTCCCAGCAGAGGCAGCAGATGTCTCTCTTCTGCACCGGCTCTGCGACCCGTCCAATGCATACCGGAGAAAATTGATCGAGGGGGGGGGGGGGGTTAAAACCTTAGCTCCATCTGATAAAGTAAAGTTACCCTTGTAACAGGCCGTGGAAGCCCATAGGGTTGTGAGATGTTGAGGGTCCCACATTTTCTAGACAATCGGCTCACAGATGGCGGCAAGGTTGTCAGCTGTACGTGCCGACCGTCCTTTTCCCTCAACAATGTTCCAAGAATATTCCTGGCACTCATTTCTGTTAGAAGCTGAGTCGACCCCAGGGCCATAGTGCGGCTGGAAGGATCCAATGACGTCATCGGCACTTGAACCCGCGACCTTCCAGCTTGTAGCATAGTGCCTCAACCAACTACGCTACCGCGTGCCCCTAGCTCCATCTAATGCCTAGGTTAAACATATGTGAGGGCTATACCTCCCACCCCCCCATCCGTCTTCACGCCGTGATATACCATTAAGCAAAGAGATGAGTTTACTTTTCATTGCCCGGCAGGTGTTGATTGGCCGAGGTAAAAAAAAAATTACGATTTCATGCGTTGTTCACAAGAGCCCGCCATTTCACTACTCTTAATTCAGATTAATCCAGGACACACTTTCACAAACATTCCTTTGAGATACATTCTAATATTATTCTACCATCTACGTCTAGGTCTTGCAAGTTGTCTCTCTTTCCATCAATTTCCTGCGACCAAACCTTTGTACACATTTCTCATCTATCCACATGCGTGCTACATGTCTACCTAATTCTCCCTGATCATCGTGATGGCATCGGGCCAACACCACGAATTATGAACGTCCGCATTACGCAGTTTTCCCCAGCCTCCCATTACATCCGCTCCCCTGGCTATAAGCAGATGCACTAACTCGACCTGTTCCCGGTACAGCGAACATGCACACGTCCCTAACAACCAGAGGGTTCACTGTTAACGCCCACTTCACGTACCCCATTAGCTATCATCTGATGTCTGCACCCTTACAAGCCAATTTTTTTCGCCCTCATGCTATGTTTACATAAAGAGAGGATCATCCGTGGGTTCTGGATCCAATCGTCAGTTAAGAGCGGAATTCACGCTCCGATACTGAGCGGTAATGACGAGGTGAAAGGAGAGGGGCAATGGCGGGCAGTGGCGTATGAAAGTAAGAGCGAGGCACAGTACGGCAAGCAGCGCGCAAGAGCGACACATGTCCGAGCCCCACTGAGCTCTCTCATGGAACTTGACACTTCACTGCAGCGGCAACATGTTAACCTATTGTGTTCTAGGATGTCAAGCCGTGCAGCTTGGTAGACAGGTACCGATGTTTCGAAAAAACACTTCTTCCATCTTCAAGGTAGAAACACGTAAGCAGGAGATTCGTGCGCAACGTAGGTAGCTAACCCGCGCATGAGGGCAGACATAGGTGAGAGGGGAACACGATAGTAGCCAGGCGGGGATGCCATGGGCGCCGTCATCCCCACCACCCATGGGACATCTTACCATGGCTTTACCTTACATATTGTAGCGTGTATAGCCGTTGCTATGTAACGGTCGTGAGACGGGCGATTATATCAGACCCGTTTCTCGGCAATGGCTCGTTAAACACGTTCCTGCGGCTACGGTTACGCATGCAAAGGTGGAAACCGGGGATTGTCTACGGGGTCCATGCCGAGGAGTTATAAAGAAGAGAACTGGGGCAACCAAGTTAAGTTGATTGTTGGCAGTCAGTTCTGGAGGGAACTTAAGCGCGGAAGCAGAGGAATAGCCATTGTTAACATCCGTTTGTAGGAAACGTCTAGTGAAAACACTGCAGAGGAATAATCATTGATTACAAGGAGACGTCTAGTAGTAGGCCAGAGATTTATAACATGTGGAAATCAGCGATTGTGTTATAGTTATTTCTAGTTGTGACCTGTAAGTGGTCAATAAATCTATTTACCAATCCAAACCCAGTCTATAGTCACACGCATACACGTGACAATATAAATAAACAATGTAAAATTTGCATTTAAATGTAATTTTTTTTTATTGAAACAAGCAATAAGGCACTGGTGTTGAGGCAACGTCTAGGTTCGTGTTCGGGAGGTGCCGGGTTCGAACCTCGGTCGCAACACCAGATATGCTGATTGAGGCTTTTCGTAGTTTTCCTGAATACCTGCAGGCAAATTCTTGGATAATATCGCGATCAGGCCACGACCGCTTCCTTGCACATCCTTTCCAATTCGCAATTCATCAATCATCATATCATTCCACGCTCTGCAGTCTATATACTGACAGCTCTTAACGAACTCGTATACATAAGTGTGGGAATTTTCTGCACGCGAGAAATCAGTGACAAAACAAACGCGATATATTAGAATGTAAGGTACACTCTGGTACAAACGTGTGCGCATTATACTGGTATCAGCTACGACAGGGATGAAGGTATCACGCAGCTGATTGCTGATACCCTCACACAACCTCCGCCAGAAGATTAATCTTCGTATCAGCAGCGGTGTGTCTAGTGGCTGTCTGGGTGTTTACGTGCCCCCAGGCCAGGTAGCAGGCGAGGTAGACTGAAGATGGATTTCCGATAGAGAACAACAAACCCCAAACCCCATCCCATCCCCGGCTAACCCAAACTTATTCACAATGCTTATCGTTTCTGGTGTGCGATCCTGAATTGGCAACGCTAGGCCAGCTCCAGCACACCGTCTATACACACACATTCACATTCCAGCGTTTTGAAGCCTGCAGTTCAACAAAATAAAGTTTAAACATCCAGTCCGTTCCTCACAGGAAACACGTTACATCTCCGCTATAGAGACCAACCGGTTAATGCTGTGCGGGGACGCAGTCGCTGTTTGCTGTGAGAACCATATGGAACACATAAATACGCTGTGTGGACAGAATGCAGAGTTCTGTAATATATACAAATTCAGGCAGTACCTCACAGGAAACACATTACGTCTCCGCTACGGAGTCCAACCGGTTAATGGTGTTTAGGGAAACAGTCGCTGTTTGTTGTGAGAACCAGATGGAACACATAAATACACTGTGTGGGCAGAATG